CCCCAAAACCCCAAAACCCCAAAACTACCAATATTTTTAATAATTTTGAAATTAGAAAATTATAATAGTAAAATGGAAAATACAATAAAATTAATGATGGTGTTTAAATTTGAATGCAAATTATGCCTGTCATAGTATGCTAAATATTACTATCCAGATACTAAACTATTGACATGCAAAAATTGCCAATATCTCTTCTACTTAAAATGCTTGAAAATTTTAAAAATTCCAACAAAGTTCATGAATCTACTAAAATAAATATAATTTTTGCTAAAAAGAATGAAAAACGAACTAGAAGTATTTGATCATATTCAACTAATTGAAATTCCTCAGAAATTACTAGACTTAAAATAGAATTTATAATATGATATGGTTCTGAATTCAGAGTAATTTGCAAAATTGTTCAATGACTTCTTGGATTATAATCAGATTAAATTAAATGTAGTTAATATGATTGATTTCAAGAATTCTCTCTAGACTAGTAAATTTAAGGTATTTGATGAATATCTGGAATCGAAATTGAATAAGTATTAATTCTTGGCACTTTAGGTAATTAATAATGTCAATAGCATGATCAAATATAACAAATAAACAATAGAATGTAAGGATTTATCAATCAATTAGCTTAACGAGAACAATAAGTATTATTTACAATCTACGCTAATGACTGTAAACATTTAAAGCTAAATTAATTTTCAAATGAAGACTAAAGGACTTTTGAAAATTGAAATTACTAATATTTGCTCTCAGAATGGATATTTTTACGTATTCACTGTTGATTATATCATTATATATAGATCGGTTAATCTCAATAATTATATCAAATTAATAAAATTCTCCGAGTCACTTTAGCAGGAAATATATTTGAACTAATAAGATTCATAAAGAGAAAATGTAAAATTTTTAAATTCAGAAAGTGAAGATAATAAAATTTACAAAAAGCATTATTTGGTTAAAGTAAATCATTTATAGAATTCCATAGTGATTTTGTTTGATGAAATTTGTATAATTCTAAGAAATACAGAGATAATGTAAATATTCAGATTTGAATCATAAAAATAAAGCTAAAATTGACAAATATTTACAATAAACAAACATAAAATGATGTATTTTGGATATTCAGGTTCTGATTCCCCCATTAGCGAATCTAAACTTATTATATTTAAAAAATCTGAAATTACTAGATTTGAGAACATTGAAATGATTAGAGAACAACTGAATCATTTAATAAAATAGCAACTAACTTTACACTAAATGTAGCCTTAATAAAGAGAAAGTTAGTTTGAAATTAAAATCTTCAAGGCAAATACTTATTTTAGCATTGAATTGGGTGGTGCTTTAATCTTGAATGTAAAATTATAATTAAGGAACTAAAAGATCAAGCTAATTAGAGTGACTGGTAATAGCCAAATCAGATGTAAAATGTTATTTAGTTCTGCTAGTATGGAGGAATATGTGATGGCAATTTAGATTGTAAGGAACTAAAATATTATAAAAAAAGATCTACTTATAAGAAACCAAAAATAATATTACAGATCATTACTAAAAATTGACGAAAAATTCAATCAAACAAAATTTTAATCTATTTAAAGATATCAAGAATTTCAGAAAAATAATCTCAAATTAAATCCATTTTTCTTAATAAGCTATTAAAATCGGAAAATAATCCTGAATGCTATAAACAGAGAGATAAATGTAATATCTGTGACTAGATTTCTTTCATATAGAAAAAAGAAAATAGAAATAATTTCAAAGCTAAACTTTTCTCAGAAATTGTAACCAAACAAAAGATAGTTTTATGCAATCATAGATAATTGTTGCAGGCATTAAATAAAGATTATTTATTGATTAAATAAGACATTTTTAAATTCATGAATTAATCTGCTATTTTGTATAATGGGGTTTTGGGGTTTTGGGG